CCCCGCCCCGCCCCGCCAGGCCCCTTTCTTCTCCGAGGCGCTGGCGTAGATTGGGGTAACTTTAAGGGGTTATCCCAGCAGTGCAAGTAGCTTTTTAATCGTCGAGTTAATTTTTTTCCCCTTCAGATTATAGAAATGGTATTGGCTCACAAAGAGAGAGTACTGAGAAGCGTAGGGAACAAAATGCAGTGGGCGTGTGTCCCTCATCTCGGGGACAACGCAGCGGGGCCTCGGCTGGCCTGCGAGGCCCCTGTCCGGTTTACATAGTGTGCCCCCCCCCGCAGTGTCCTGTCTCCTTTCCCTGTCTGGTGCTCACAGCCCCCCGCTGGGTGTGAATTGGTTCCAGTCACCTCCATGTGACATCCTTGACGCCTGTGGGCTGATCCTCTGTCTTTTTGCAACTTTTCAGAAGGTCCCCTCAGACCAGGGGCAGCAGGCTGCCTGCAGGGTTGGGGGCTCTTGTCTCCACGCCCCTCCCCCTCCCACTGCCAGAGCAACCTCCAAGGATTTCCAAACCGTGGGCAAGGCTGTGTGCCGAGAAAGCTTTATTTACAAAACAGGTGACAGAACCAGTGAGAGAAGCTTCATACCCTCCAGGATGGCTATTTTTAGAAAACAAAAAACCCAGAAAGTAACAAGAGTTGTCTCCAGGATGTGGAGAAATGGGGACCCTTGTGCACTTCCGGTGGGAACATGAAATGAGGCAGCCGCTGTGCAAAGTCCACAGGGTCCTCAAAAAACTCAACATAGAATCACCAGGTGCTCCAGCAGTGCCACTCCTCGGGGCATCCTGAGAAGGGAAACCAGGGACTTGAAGAGACATTTGCACACCTGTGTTCACAGCAGCACAAGGTGGGGACACCCCAAGTGTCCGTGAACAGATGATAGACGAACAAAATGTGGAGCACAGTGGAGTATGTTACTCAGCCTTACAAAGGAAGGAGATTCTGGCACCTGCTACCACGTGGATGAACCCGGAGAACATGACGCTCAGGGAGAGAACCAGACCCAGAAGGACACACACTGTGTGATTCCACTCACGGGAGGTCCCTGGAGGAGGCACATCCACAGAGACAGGAAGTAGGACGGTGGGGCCAGGGCTGGGGGAGGGGCTGGGGAGTGAGTGTTTCGTGGGGACAGAGCTGCAGTTTGGGAAGATGAGGAAGCTCTGGAGACGGTGGTGGGGATGGTGGCACAACAGTGTGAATGCACTTAATGCTGCTGAGCTGTGCACTTAGAAATGGTTAAGATGGTAAGGTTTATGTTACGCGTATTTTACAATAATTTTTTAAACCTGAAAAATTTGAAAGTCATGCAAAAAAAAAAATCCAAACCAAAAACAGGTGACAGGTTGCAGTGAGCCAGACCCTGCCTTAGACTGACCTTGGTGGGACCTAGGGTGGAAGGCTGTGCTGTCCCTGTGTCTCCTTGTCTGTCTCTCTCCCTGTCTCTGTTTTCATCTCTCTCTCTGGGCTTTGACGACCGTGGCTGCCCTCCTGAGAGGGTGACACTGTCTCTGTTGGTGTGAGGGTCTCCCCCACCCCGTCTGCAGGCGTCCTGGGCTTCCCCGTTACAGGGTCTCCTCGGCACTGCAGACTTAGTGGTCATTCTCTGTCCCTGACCCCGCAGGACACCAGCTGCTGCTATGCCGCCGGCTGCTGGTGCGTTCTCAGGGGAGCTGAGTCCCAGGAGAGGGGACCCCTTCCAGGAATTTGCTCTTTGGGCTCCTCCAAACCCCGGGTGGGACACTCTGGTCGTTTTGCATGGGTTGTACTGCTGTGAACCGGCATGGCCTCCTTTCTCCTGGGCACCAGGTGTGTGTGGGAGGGGCACGGGGCTGGGAGCCCCCAGCTGCCTTTGAGGCACTGCCACCAGTGTGGCCAGAGTTCCGGCTTCTCCAGGCCTCACGATTCTTCCGCTGGTTTTGTGATCTACCCTGGACTTCTGACCCACATGTAGCGTCAGGCTGATGGCGGGTGGCACTTCATCCCTGAAGTGGTCGAGCGTGGCAGTCAGCCTGACGGCCGAGTCAGGGGCTGTGGAAGCCTCTCTGCCTCCCAGGGCAAATCCCGTGGTGCCCACGGAGGAGCCAGGGGCCTCGCCCCAGGGCCATGCGCGGGGCCATCCCGCGGGACAGAGGCCTGCCTGCTGTGCAGACACGATTCCCGGTGCTGGCATCGTGAATCTGCTGAGCCTCGCAGCTTTTCCCGGGTAACAGCCTTTGCGGGGTCCTGTCTGCAGGTCAGAGGGCAACTGATGCTTGTTCTGGGCCGGTGGGTGGGGGCTGGGCGGCTGTCCTCACACCCCGTCCGCCGCCAGGTTTCTGTACTCCGACGAGGTTCAGATCGGGCCCGAGACGGTCATGACCACGCTGTACACCGCCAAGAAGTACGCGGTGCCCGCGCTCGAGGCCCACTGCGTGGAATTTCTGAAGAAGAACCTGCGGGCGGACAATGCGTTCATGCTGCTGACGCAGGTGCGGGGCGGGGCGAGGGCGCAGAGCCGGCCACGCGCAGATGCTAAGTCTAAGCGAGGGCCCAGGTGCGCCGGTGTGCGGGCGAGGACGCCAGACCTGGCTGGGGGAGGACGCATCCGGGTGGATCTGAGTTTGGGGCTCCCTGGTAAATCTTGCCCCCGGGTGAGTGTCTCGCTCACCTGGCTAACCCTGACCCCAGCCCCTCCCCTGGTGGCACATGGTGACTTTCTAGCTGGGTTTCGTTCAGTGCGGATTGTTGGCGGGCCTCGCTACACTAATTTGGCTAAAAGTTTTCAGTTGGCGTTTTGGTGCCTTTTTGCGGGGGTCAGGTGTGGGGAGAAAGACATTGCGTTATTAGGTTTCTCAGAGGGGGCCCCTTTCCCTGCTGATAGGGTCCCACTGGCTGTGGCGGGGTGCCGGGAGGCCAGGTGCAGAGTCGCAGGGACAGGGCAGCCCCGAGTGGTCCGGTATCTGGGCCTTAGCTCTGACTGAGTCGCTGTGAAGGGTCAGAGCCAGGCCAGTCATGCGGGAACCACTCTTGGCCATTTGCTGAGAGCTGCCGCTATGAGAGGTGTCCAGGCCTCCTAGTCGGCCCCAGGGGGTGGGGGTGGAGCTGCCCCACAGCTTCCTCGGGTACATGGAACCAGAATCTTCTCCCTCCCTGGCCCTGCTTGTCCCCTGTGCGAGTTCCCGGACCGTCAGAGGCACAGCACTGCGTGTCCTGCGGGTGGTTCTTGGCCCTCTCCCCGGGGCTCCTGCCTGACCACAGTGGGTTACTGTGAACCATAAGGGAGAAAATCCGCTGGCGCCTCGGCTGACACCTGTGCCAGTACCCCCACCCCCACCCCCAACTTGAAAGCCAGAACCAGTCTGAAGCCAGCGTCTGCCTAGGGCCGGTGCTGACATGCTCTCCCTCGACAGGCGAGACTCTTCGACGAGCCACAGCTTGCCAGCCTGTGCCTGGAGAACATCGACAAGAACACGGCCGACGCCATCTCGGCAGAGGGCTTCACGGACATTGACCTGGGTAAGGCTGCCGGGCCGGGGTGGCCGGCTCGTCCTGCAGGGGCCCTGCCAGCCTGAGTTCCGCCTTCTGTTTGGCCCAGCCTATTCCCTGGGCCGAGCGGAGGCCAGAGTGCTGGGCCCACACAGCTGCTGGCCCCTCCCTGCAGACACGCTGGTGGCCGTGCTGGAGCGGGACACCCTGGGCATCCGGGAGGTGCGCCTGTTCAACGCCGTCGTGCGCTGGTCGGAGGCCGAGTGTCAGAGGCAGCAGCTGCAGGTGACGCCCGAGAACAAGCGGAAGGTGCTGGGCAAGGCACTGGCCCTCATCCGCTTCCCACTGATGACCATCGAGGAGTTCGCTGCAGGTAACGGTCAGGGGGGCCGAGCTGCTGCTCTGGAGGAGCAAGACCCCCAGGGACCCCCAGTGTGACTCAGTCACGTGTCCCTTGGCCCGGCCACAGTGGGTCAGGGCCGGCTGCATCCACCTCAAGAGCCCCGCCAGCTTCTTTGTGCCGACAACACACTTGCCGTGTCCAGGGGAGAGGTTGCCCGGGCTCGAGAGTGTCACGCTGGAGTCACCCACAGACGCTGACCCTCCCAGGTCCCCGCCTTCCTTTCCCCCCGCGTCTCGTGTATCCAGGCACGTGCGTGAATGTGCAGGGCCCGGGGGGGGTCCTTGTCTTGGGTGCACTTCCTGGGGGCCAGGCTCTGGCGTCATCGTCCTTGACAAGCCCCGTGAAGGGCTGGAAGTGCCTGGAGCTGAGGGGGCCACTGCTGCAGGGCCTTGGGGGCTCGGGCCCAGGTCCGGGTGGCCCTGACCCTGCCTCCCACCCCATGGGAATGCTCCTGTCCTGGCTGTGGCCAACCTGGGACCCACTGGGGCTAGGCCTGCCTTTTGTGTCAGTCTCATGGCTGGTGCCGACCGTGGTCCTGGAGCCAAACTGGCCTGGAAGTTTCTGGATGGGGCTCCATGATGCAGCCCCGCAGCTGCTCTGTCTCTCCTGGGTCCGTGCTGCTCCTGCTCCCACCTGGGCTTAGGGTCGCCAGATTGAGTGACAACAGCAAAGAAACGAGGTTTTAGTGTATCTCCCATGCGCAGCTGGCAGACATTTATCCTACAGATCTGAAATTCAGACTTCACCAGGTGTCCTGCGTTTTAGCTGGCGGTCGCAGTGTTACGTCAGTGCTGAGGTCATCTCTGTGCTCTGGGAGTCACTCATCTGGCAGAGCCTTGGCGCCTCCCTAGTACCAGGCCTGGGGGCACAGCGGGGGCTGCAGACGTGGGGCCAGGTCCTCCTCTGTGGGATGTCCTGGGGGGGGTGTGGAGCAGCCTCCCAGTCCCCACCTGCTCGATGCCAGAAGCCCCTGTCACGACAACCACAGACGTCCCCAGACATTTCCCAGTGCCCCCAGGTGAGAACCCCAGGGCAGGCTACGTGAGCCTACAGGAGCCTTGCTGGGCCCCTCTCTCTCCAGCCCTGCTTGCCCCCCCAAAACCGCTCTCCTCACAGTCCCTCGGCCCACCTGGCCACCAGAGCCCCTGGGGTCTCAGGCCCCTGTGACACTACCACCTCCTGGAGTGCCATCCCCCCACCCGTGGCCATCTCACCACGCCTACCGAGGGCCCCCCAGGCCGAATAGCCACCAACCACCCTCAGCTTGCCGGCGCCTGGGATGTGTGTGTCTGTCCTTCGGCATGAGCTGGGCCTGTGGCCTTGTCCCTCTGCGGCGGTGCCCACGGGGCTTCAGCTGTCACTCAGTGTGTCCTAGAGGATTCTCCTGCTTGTTCTGTTTAACTTGAAAATACAAGAAAGTAGAAGTTTGAAAAAAAAACTTGCCGAAAGACTCGTGCGGCTGAGCGCGTCCCGGCTGAGGTCTGATGGAGTTTCCCTTCTGCATTTTCCATACGGAGATTAAAAAAGTGGTTCATGTCTGGATTCAGTTTTGTATCTCACTTATTCACGTGCTCCACGGAAATCTCGCTCCCGTTGCTAAGATCCGTGCGTGTGGGGTGCGGGGGCTGTGAGCTGTGGCCGCCCTGCGGCAGAAGTGAGCTCAAAGCTGGTGAATGAGTGATTCCTGTCAAGTGAGGACCGGGTCCTGGAGGCCTGGCGGGCGCCCGGGCTGTCCTGGGGCGGCGGGGGTGGGGGTTGGGGGGCGGGCAGGGGGCGTGTAAGGCCCCCCCCCCCCGTGGCCTCCCTTCGCCGTCTCGTCACTGCACCTCGGGTCCCCCTGTCTGGGGGCAGCACCTCCCTGTCGCTGTAGGTGCCCCGGTGGACGAGCAGGGCAGCATGTGCTCTGTGGACCGTCGGCGGTCCCAGGTGGAGACTGGGGGGTTCTGCCCAATTAGCCAGCGAATCAGAGCACTGGCTCCGGGTCTGCGTCAGGCCCCTCCCCGAAGGCGAGCAGAAGGGCATCGTCCCCCCGCGGGGGCTGCTTGTTCCCGTGCTGTTTTCCAGAGGCTCGACCTCTGCTCTGAAAGGCCGAGGAGCCCAGACGCCGGTCTTCGGCGCGCCTGGGGGTCCGCCCAGGCCTTCCCAACCCGCCCCCTGTGCCCGCAGGGCCCGCGCAGTCGGGCATCCTCGTGGACCGCGAGGTGGTCAGCCTCTTCCTGCACTTCACGGTCAACCCCAAGCCGCGCGTGGACTTCATCGACCGGCCGCGCTGCTGCCTCCGCGGGAAGGAGTGCAGCATCAACCGCTTCCAGCAGGTGGAGAGCCGCTGGGGCTACAGCGGCACCAGCGACCGCATCAGGTGGGCGCTCTGGGAAGGGCTTCTGCGGGCCTCCTGCTGGGAGGGGAGGGCCGGGCTGCCTTCCCGCAGGGATGGTCCAGGTAGTTCAGCATCTTCCTCCTCTGACCGAGTCAGGTTCTCCGTCAACAAGCGCATCTTCGTGGTTGGCTTCGGACTCTACGGCTCCATCCACGGGCCCACAGATTACCAAGTCAACATCCAGGTGCCGCCCCGCCCCGCCCCCAGCCCCCCCATATCCCTCCGCCGCCGCCTCCCTCCCCACCCCCCACCTCGCCCGAAGGCCGAATGTCTTCCCAACCCTCCCCAGCTCCGTATCCTTACCCCTCCTTCCTTGTCAGGGGTCTATCCCGTGTCTCCCACAAGGTAGAATGAATGTTCCGGGGTCCACGGGACCCAGGACGATGCCTCCCCATCCCCCACTGGCCTCCTCCTTGAGGGTCACGAGCTGGACCCCACACCGCTGGCCTAGGGCTGGGGCTCAGCCCTCGGTCCGCCTTCCCCGGGTCCTGTGGGGGGCGGGGCAGGAGCGCCCGGGGTGAGCTGTGTCCGGCTCCTGCCCCGCAGATTATCCACACGGACAGCAACACGGTCCTGGGCCAGAACGACACGGGCTTCAGCTGTGACGGCTCGGCCAGCACCTTCCGAGTCATGTTCAAGGAGCCGGTGGAGGTGCTGCCCAACGTCAACTACACGGCCTGTGCCACGCTCAAGGTGGGCCTGACGCGCTCCCCCAACCAGGACCCTGACTGACCCCTACCCAGAACCTGGCCCCGATCCCTGAAACCAGCCCAGGACCCCAACCACGAACCACAGACTGACTCCGACCCCCAAACCTGAGCCAGGACCCCCACCCTGACCTCTGACCCTGACTGCCAGTCCACTCCCCCCCCACCGTGATGGGGCTGGGAGGGTTGCAGCCACAGGGCCTGCTGCCCTGTCCAGCTGGGGTCCTGGACCTCCTCCCTGACCTGCTGGGGTCCCCCCGCACCCCACGCAGGGCCCGGACTCCCACTATGGCACCAAGGGCCTGCGCAAGGTGACCCACGAGTCGCCCACGACGGGGGCCAAGACATGCTTCACCTTCTGCTACGCGGCCGGGAACAACAACGGCACATCAGTGGAGGACGGCCAGATCCCCGAGGTCATCTTCTACACCTAGGCCGCTGGGCCCCGCACGGCCCGGGGACGCCACAGCCCCGATGTCACCCAGCACAAGTAGGCCATCCCATCCCAGGCCGCGCTAGGCCCCGCCCCGCTGCCGGGCACCCCTGCCACGTTCCCAGGCACCAGGAGGCATCTTCGCACTCCACCGCGGGGCAGCCAGCTGGCCGCCTGCTCCAGGGAGCCGGGAGGTGGCCGGGGTGGTGGGGGACAGTCCCTCAGGACTCGGGGGGGCGGGGCTGGCCTGACCTCGCCCTGAGACGGGGGTTGCCTGCCCAGCTGCCTGACCGCAGGATTTGTGTAGGGTGTCGCCCTGTGTGTGTTTCAGCTGCACATGGTGGTGCGTCCGGGATGCCCGTTTCTCTGCTAGGAGACCTCATGCGGGGCCCCTTGTGTAGTGGGGTGGGGCTCACATCCTGTTTGGTTCACTGGGGATGCTCAGGCCACCCTGACCCGCCCCTTAGACGCAGGCTTGAGCTCTCCCGAGGTCCCGCAGGCCGGCTTCCTGCCAGGCCCAGGCCTACCCAGTGGACCCAGCAAAGGGCCATCCCTGTCCAGCCTCTCTGGATGGTCCTTCCCAGTCCTTACAGATGAGGACAGGGTGGCAAACCCTGCCTGCCTGGGAGGGGCGATACTGCAGGTCAGCCGGGAGGGCATAGTCCCAGCCGGCCTGCCCGCCCGTGCATCCTGCAGCCCTGCCCCTGCCTCCCAAGCCTCCAGAGCGCTCTGCACAGAGGTGCTGGAGGGCCAGCCCCTCCCCGGCCCCCAGGTACTGCCCCCTTCCTATCCTAGTGTCTCCACCTGGAACCTGTGTCTTCCCCGAAGCCATGGAAGGTGTGTCCTCACACCGCACCCCAAAATGTTTTTTTAAATAAAGGAAAGAAACACACCATCCTGCCCCACGTGC